CAGCATGCTGCTTAAAGTTGCCTTTACTTTTGGTGTAGAGTGCTTCCTCCTCACCTCTTGACGAGACCCCTCCCATTTGCTTTGCCAAAGCTTCTTGATCGGCAAGCAAATTCTCAAACTCAACAAGTGATGGTTGGGTCGGCCATCCTTGTACAGCGGAAACGAAGCCTCTTTATTCCGGTCTCAATCCATGGATAATTATTCTTTTTATCTTGGATTCTACAATGGTAGCACTAGGATCTAACTCAGAAATTTCACGGCAAATAGACTTTACCTTGTGGAAATATTCGGCAATCATCATGTCTCGTTGGGCCATCGATAACAGCTCGTTCTTGAGAAGTTAGAGTCTTGTATCATTCCTCTTTGAAAAGAGTGTGGCGAAGGTGTCCCACGCTTCTTTTGGTGTCTTGGCCTTCCGTATGTGCTCTAACATGTCATCTTCAACTGTGGTTTTTAAGGCAAATATGGCCTTACCTGCCTTGATCTTCCATTTCCTCAAAATGCCACTAGTGTCTTCTTTCGGCTACGTAACTTCATTACTGCCGACGACATCCCAAAGATCTTGGCCTTATAGGTAAGACTCCATACACGTCGCCCATGTGTTATAATTTTTGTTGTTCAACTTCTTGATTCCTCAAACAACTTGAAAGATCTCCATCGTGTCGGCGAACTCGATAAACCGAAAACTTAACGATCACTTGCGAGTACAAAACTTCTTTCTCAAAAACTTCCTAGGTCCCTGATAGTACCACTCTGATACCAAATGTTGGGGAAAAAACTTAGAGTACACTCTAACCAAGTGTGTTGGAGAGACAATACAAGGAAACAATTACTTGTATTACACATACAAATATTACAACTCCTCAAGGCACAAACGACACTTTAAACAATGGACATCACTCACTTTCTTAGAGACAAAACTCTAGATCACTCACACTCCTACAAGACTTTCTTACTACACCTCACTTGGTTGCCTACTGGCTACTTTCTTGTTTGGTTGGTTATTTGGTCTACTGTTGATACAAATGGTGTGGATGCCTTCTCTTTTATAGAATGGATGGAACCTGGAGAAGCATGGAAAATCATGGCTAGAAGTTATCTAGATAAATCTACTAACTTCCCAAGCTAGAATTTCTACACTAATCTTGCATGTTGGGAAACTTCACCATTCTTTTAGAATCTTCCACCAACTTAAGGAACAACTTTTTGCTAGAGTTTCTGCATATTCCCATTATAATAAATTCTAGAGAAAACCCATGCATGTTTGAACTGAAATAATCTTGCTCCTTTGTATCGACTGATCTAATGGGCTGGTGTTGTCTTTAACATGAAAACGACCGATCATGTATTAATTTTAAGAAAATATTGAGGAAAACTGAAAATACGGAAATGCCTTGCACTTTGCCTATCCAATGTGATAAAAGGAGTACTGTAAAATGCTTGACACGGCTGTGACTTGACGGATCTTGTAGAGAATCATGGGCTGGGCAAACCTATATATTCTTGTTCACCCGCTCTGATCAAGGCATGTCAGTTAGTTCTTTTGCTGTTTTCTGTGTCAATTGTTATTCTTAGCAGACAAGAGACAACAAATTCAACAAACAAGAAAATTTCATTAGTTGGAGCACTTTTTTGTTAGTTTTGCAGGCCAGGTAATGTTGATAAGCTGTCCCCTTTGTAATCCAACGTTCTCTTGCTTACGATAATTTTTGGCTATATTGTGGAAGAACAGAAAAACAAGAAAGTAAGTACCACACCAGGCACGCACACACACCCTCTCTCTCTCTCTCTCTCTCTCTCTCTCTTTTCTGCAGGCCATCTGACACAAACGATGTGCTGCACTATAACCAAACAGGGAGGGTTTAGGAGGAGGTTAAAGGCTTATTTTTAGCCTTGGGGTGGAAGCTGACCCGAACTTACACTTTTAGGTTAAGGAGTATAGTAGTGCTACAAAAACTTCTCTGAAGCTATAAACTTGAGAGAGGAGGATTTTCTCTTTTATAAAGTGACCTTCCCGTGTGGCACTACATACTAGCACATTAATAGTTCTTCATCATTTCCACCAACAATGTCTTCGGTAATTCGTATGCTGCAGAGCATGAAGCTATCACTTTCCCACCATCCAAAGACACCTGCCTCTACCTGCCTCATACATAGGAGGTGCCGGTGCTATGTTGGTTGTTTCTTCTCTAACACCTGCCATAATTTTCGAACGGAAGAAATGAATCAACTCTGACGATAGTTGCCAGAAGGTCAATAGGGTTCATATTTCGTTTTTCGTTGGCGAAAAATTAACTATGTTAACCTCAAGAATGTTTCTAATGTGTCTCCTTCCAAAATTAAAACTTGTGTCCTTTGTTTGTTATTAATGAATAATCTATTTGTAAACGTGACGGGAAGATTTTTGGGATGAATCAATCAGAGTATCAAACTGATATGAGAATACTAACACTAAGATTGTTGACACAAGGTTGAAGTGTTATACTTGCATGTAGTGTATTTGACTTGATATAGTTGTCTAAATTTATAATTCAATGCAATCAAAGAAAGTTCGAGGAGACAAAAGAGGCCCGGATTGATTTTATCATGGCGACCCATCGGTTATGACTTCCATCATCAAAATGGGAAACGCTATTATGGGTATACGTTGCTTAAACAAAGTTTGGACGATGATTAGTATATATGATGGTCACCACCACAATAAATCGGACACAAACTTGAGCATCAATGCCACATTGATTATAGTGCATGTTTCTAAACTTTTATAAAATACATTCCTTAAATTCACGGTTTTTGTTCAAGAAAATATATTGGTGTTAATGTTTTTTACATTTAAGAACAAATATATATTATGCTTTTTTGACAGTGTTCTATACCAGATATTTAGGCAAATTTTAGTACTTACGATATAAAAAGTACTTATTGATTTAATTTTTGGAATTTAACTTGAAAATAAATGAGGAATGTAGCTGGCTTTAAATAAGTTTGTTGAAAAAAGTAAACAATTTCTTTTTAACCAAGTTAAAAGGTAAACGGGGTCACAAGACGTTCCCTTAAACAGAAAATAATTAGGTTTTAAAAAATATCATTAAAATGAAAACGGTTTGGTTAAAACATACTAATGGGGATATCGCTTATAGTAACCGCGGATAGGGGTCATTTAATTTTTAGGGTTATGGGTAACGTTAGATAAATAACGGTTATGGATAATTAACAGCGGATTTCCCGCCTGCCACTGGCTATCCCTAATTGGAGCCTATTAATGTAAAAGAAAAAATTCAGAGACAAATATCAGCAGCCATATTCAATCAGTTGATTCATTTTAATCAAAATTATTTTCATCAGCCTCATTAACAACAGAAATAATAGCATGCAAAGCCATTTAACAAGAAGCTTGGAAATGGAAAAACGAAAACCTGCCAATTAGGTTTCTTCAGAAGACCAATTTCTTTTTACATTTTAAGTTGGATTACTGGAGTGGCGTTCAGTCCAACTGATAAATTTGGTTAAGAGAAAGGATTGTTTTGATCTCATAAACGAGTTTGCTAAATGCAACGGTTTTATGGATGGTTCAGGGTTTTTAGGTTAACATTTATTAAAGCCCAGAAGTATCACGGCTCAACACGTTTTAGTTGTTGTCCCAACGTAAGGGGAAAAATAGTTCATGGACGTGCAGGGAAACGTGTTAACTTGGTGATGTGATGAAAAGAGTTTGTTCACTTGGTGAAGAGAATACCCTTGCTCAAGCGATATATTTCATTGAGCTACTTTCATGGGCCAATGGTTTTATGATAACTCCAATTTCATCATGAATATTAGAGTCCTGTTGTCCGCAGGTGAGAAGAAAGGACACATTGCTCCATGGCATACCCGTTGTATTTATCAGATGTGTTTAGGCATCGAATTACGTTTCCACGTTGAAGGGGGCGTGTTGAAATAAAAGTCTTCCACTGATGGTGAGAAGGGATGATGGAAGATTGCTGGGGTAAAAATTGGACTACTCCCCTTGATGGGCTTATAGAAGGTTTGGATATTCCTAATTTATATTCAATTAAGATTTTTGATGAATTACTTGTCTTCCAGGAGTGTTATACAATCAAACGACAATTTTTTAAGTTGAGTCGAGGTACACCAAGATGGACTTTTTCACTAGGGACATAAACAATTAAATTGCTGATGATTAAATCAATCTGTCAGGCCACCCCTCCCCTCTCTTCGGGATTGGTGCCCAAAATCATCCATCCGCCCAAAACCCATGTTAGCCAAAAAAAAACCCCCACCGGAGCCCAACCCAAAAGCCTTTAAATGGTATGGCCGTTAAAATGAAATTCGGACCCACATATTCATTCAGTGATAACCCTCTACCCTAAAGATGATGTTCATTCGCATTAGGGGTTTTTCACACACGCGCCAAATTGTTGTACTTTCTTCTCCTTTCTCCCTCCGGTGTAAGGGGTGGAGTCCTTTGGTTTTTATGTTTCCCATCTGTTGTCCTAGAACCTAGAACCAGAAGATCGAAGCGCAGACCAGACCTTGATTTCTTCTGTGACATTTTGATTAGGGTTCTTAGTCCTGAAAATTCTAAGATTCTTTTTGGAATATGGTACACCAAAATCAAGACCGAAGTATGGGTTGCCAAGAGGATCCTTAGATTCTCCGGGGTTTTGATGTTTAGCTGATGGAATCTTGTGGTGTTAGGGATGACTAGAAAAACAAGTCTGGTGTCTATGCATCGATACCGCTTCTGCAATGATGCCAACACACTGTTTGATGGATAGTGGAAACTGTCGACTAATATTTTACAAGACGTTTTGTGGCAGAGCTTCCATCATCCCTCTGACACATTATTGCCGGTATGAAGCTTAGCCTGAACAAAATAACAGGCCAACAATCGCGTCTTACTTCCTGGGCAGCACTAGATGATCCACAACCCGGAATGTTCAGCGCCCATTTGATCCGAAAGTTCCCTGCAGCTTAATTTATTTGGGGAAAATTCTAATATTTGGAGTGTGTTCAGTGGGAAGGGTTAAAGATACTTTAGAAATCAAAGTGGAGGGTTCCTTTCTTACAATTTCGATGCTAATGAGATTGATCTTACTTTTGGTGTGTCAGATAGCTCTCTAAAACTGAGGGTCGTTTTGAGCCCAGCAGGTGAGTTAAATCTGCAGCTGTGGACTGAATCTGATACAATTAAGACATGGTTTAAAGCATGGGAAGAACCTATTAATAAATGTGATTTTTATGCTGCATGCGGTCCATATGGAGCCTGTGATAAAAACAGTGATCTCCTCTCGTCACAATGCAAGTGTTTGAAAGGTTTTAGGACCGAATTACATAAACAATCGGCTCAGGGGGACTGGCCCGGTGGTTGTGTTCGGGAAAAGGCATTGACATGTGATAAAGGGGAAGGGTTTGAGAAGTTTGAGAAAATGAAACTGCCGGATCATGCTATTATTTTAGGAAATATGAGTACGAGAGAGTGTGAATCTGAATGCCTACGGAACTGCTCTTGCACAGCTTATGCCTATTCAAATGTGATAAAAGGAGGTACTGTAAAATGCTTGACATGGCTTGATGACTTGACGGATCTTGTAGAGAATCATTGGCTTGGGCAAACCATGTATATTCGTGTTCACCGCTCTGATCAAGGTATGTTAGTTTAGTTTCTTTTGCTGTTTTCTGTGTCAATTTATATTCTTAGCAGACAGGAGAGAACAAAATTTAGCCAGAAAATGATCATTAGTTGGAGCCTTTTTTGTTAGTTGCAGGCGGTAAGGGTCATGTTGATAAGCTGTTCCTTGTAATCCCAATAGTCTCAACAACAGCAGGATTGCTTACAATAATTTTTGGCTATTTATTGTGGAAAAAAACATTGAGAGATGAAGGTAGTACTACCACACGCCACCGTCTCTCTCTCTCTCTCTCTCTCTCTCTCTCTCTCTCTCTCTCTCTCTCTCTCTCTCTCTCATGTGGGCTACACACAAACGAATGGTGCTATAACAATTAGACTCAAACAGGGAGCGTAGGAAGGAGCATAAGCGAGGCTATAAGAAATTTTAGCCTTAGAGGTGGAAAGAATGACCCCGAACTACCACTCTTCAGTTTAAGGAGTTTAGCAGCTGCTACAAATAACTTCTCTGAAGCTAATAAACTCGGAGAGGGAGGATTTGGTCCTGTTTATAAGGTGACCCTTCCACCGTGTGCACTGCATGCTAGCACATTAATAGTTGTTCATCATTTCTTTTGAATATTTCTTATCGATGTCCCAAATTAAGTTTCATCGTTAAGGAGTATAGCGGTTCCTTTATTCTGGAATTTTCCATCCTCTACAGGGGATTTTGATTGCAAATGAAGAAGTAGCCATAAAAAGGTTGTCAAAGAAGTCAGGGCAAGGGCATCAGGAGTTCATGAATGAGTTAAAGCTTATAGCCAAGCTCCAACATACCAATCTTGTTAGGCTGTTGGGTTGCTGTATTGAAGACGAGGAAATGATATTGATCTATGAATACATGCCCAATCGAAGTTTGGACAAATTTTTGTTTGGTATATGCTCTCCACTTCTACCAATATTCTTTCATATTGTCGACTTCCAGAGCATCACATTTTATTGCCTTTTTGCAACATTAAAATCTTTCTTCTTTACGGTTTGTGCAATCAGATTCATCTGAAAGGACAAAACTGGATTGGCGTACACGCTTTCGAATTATAGAAGGTGTGGCTCAAGGAGTTCTTTATATCCACAAATATTCTAGATTGAAAATTATTCACAGGGACCTAAAAGCAAGCAACGTTCTGTTGGATGAAACAATGAAACCCAAAATTTCAGACTTTGGGATGGCAAAAATTTTCGGGATGGATCAAACTGAGGCAAATACAAACAGGGTTGTTGGGACATAGTAAGTTACAATGTTTCCTTCATATGTAAACCTTATGCAGTCTTTAATGTTGACTTCTCTACCATTCTTGCAGCGGTTATATGTCTCCCGAGTATGCCCTCTATGGCCATTTTTCAGAAAAATTGGATGTGTTTAGCTTTGGAGTGTTACTCTTAGAGATTGTGAGTGGAAAGCGGAATTCTGCTTTTCATCGTTTTGAAGATCCGCTTACACTTGCTGGATGGGTAAGTACTAGAACTCCTAGTTTATGTCCCTCCTCTTTTTAAGCCCTGCAAGACTGATGCGTTTATATACATGTTATTTTCCTTAGGCATGGAGGTTATGGAAAGAAGGAAGAGAAATCGAGGTTATTGATGAATTGTTAAGGGAAACGTGCCAGCTTGATGAAGATTTGAGGTGTATCCATGTAGGGCTATTGTGTGTTCAAGAAGCTCCAGCAGATCGACCATCAATGTCTTCGGTAATTTGTATGTTGCACAACAATGAAGCTACATCACTTCCACCCTTCAAAGAGCCTGCTTTCTCAATACATAAGAGTGCCTGTGCTGTTGGTTCTTCTCCTCAATCATCTGCCAGGTTTTCGAACAATGAACTCACTGTTAGTTTGCCAGAAGGTCGATAGAGGTTCAGTCATGTTTCGTTTTGTGAACGTCAAAATTAAATATGTAAACCTTAAGAAAAGCACTATCACATTCAACTCTTCTTTTCCATATCAGAAATTGTAGATCCTTGAGTTTGCCATGATGTATATCTGTTTTAAACAAAGACGGAAGATGGTAGATCCCGCATCGTCCAGGGGAGTGGATCATCTATGCCTTAAATGTACATGCCCACCTCCAAATAGCACGAGGCATTTTTAGAGCTTACTGGCTTCCGGTTCCATAGGAACTCCGAAGTTAAACAAGAATGGGCCAGAGCATTCCCATGATGGGTGACCCACATGGAAGTTCTGCTCGAGTGCATTCCTAGAAACAAAACCGTGAGGGCGTGGTCGGAGCCCAAAGCGGACAATATCGTGCTATGGCGGAGGCGGGGCCCGGGAAGTATTTTTATATTAGCGGTGAGAAATTTTATTTTTTAAATTATTAACTTTTTAACACACATATCTTATTATTTCTATAATTACATGTGATGTACCACTCCGTATACCGATCATCCTGAAAAATCTCTCTTATTAATCCTCCAATAGTCAAACAAATGAGATTTGAAAAAGATTTGCCGTTTTAAATACATGAATCTACATATAAAGTCATTTGATCCAAATGGTCTTTAGCGCGTGACTTGACCCTTAAATAGTTGACTTTGAATAATCCAAGTCTTTCTTTATTTTTCCATGAACTTGGAAGCTCTAATACCAAACTGGACTTGTTTGCAGATTTGTTTTGTGCAGCCATGGGTACCAAAACCAAGCAAAGTTTGGTGCTTTCAGCTATTTTTTATGCCTATTTCTCAAGCTCCATGTTTCCAGTGCAACTGACTCCGTCACTGCAAACCAATCTCTCTCCGGTGATCAAACCATTGTCTCTGCAGGTGGGATTTTTGAGCTCGGTTTCTTCGAATTAGGTGGCCGCTACTACATCAGTACATGGTACTACAACCAAGTGGTATCTGCGAGTACCATAGTTTGGGTGGCGAATAGGGAGCAACCGGTCTTCGATAAATTTTCTTCAGTGTTGAGGATCTTAGACGGTAATTTACTTCCCTCCAATGAGTCAAAAACTCCAGTTTGGTCCACAAATGTGACCTCCAACAACTTCTCTTCAGTAAAAGCAGTTCTATTGGATAGTGGGAATCTTGCATTCTTTGATGAATCTATTTCATCCTCAGAGCCTTTATGGCAAAGCTTTGATCATCCGACTCATACATGGTTACCCGGAGGTAAAATTGGATTCAACAAAATTACCAAACAAACCCAAATTCTCACTTCATGGAAGAATTCCGAGGATACTTCACCAGGTCTTTTCTCTCTTGAGATGAACCGAGATTAGACCTGGTATTCATGTTGTGTTTTCCGTGTTTGTATCATTTTTGTGTCATACCCGATATCTTAATGAGTCGTGTCGTGTAATACTTGTTAAAATAAACGGGTAAAATAACCGACCCTAAATCGACACGATAATATTAACAGGTAATATGACCCGACCTATTACCCGTTAAGGAAAATATATTTTAAACCAATAAATAATCAAATGAAAAACATAATACTAAATAAGTGTGTGTGTGTGTGTGAAGGATGGCGAATGATGATGTTTTCACTGTGGATTCAAGCTGCTTCTGCTGAATTGATGGATGAATAGTAAAAAGTGATTTTACTATTCATAAATAGTGTCTTGTCGGAATGATTGCTGCTACTGCTGATGCTGCTTTCATTGTGAAAATCACATGGCTTCTACTGTAGGATTTACATGGGTAAAACTTAAAAATGATTACAAATCATTACATTTTGAATTTTACTAATCAAACGAGTCTTGGGCATCCTGGTAATCTGCCCACTTGGCTGGTTGAGACAAAGCGTTTGAAGATTCTAAACTTGGCTCTTCATCATCATTGCGCAGCAAAGCTGCTTCTGCTATAAGCTTATCTGCCATTTTCATGAGCTGTGAGGATTTCTCTTTCTTTTTCGAACTTGATGTTTTGGAGGATCTGGATAATTTAGATTTTCCTTTGAGGGAGGATGAAGGACTAATGTTTGATAAGGATTGGGTATTTTTTGGAATTTCTGGCAATGCCTTTGTTGTTGGTGGTGGAGATACCATTGGACCATGTTCAATCAGAAATTCTGATGAGACTAAACTGATAATTTTTCCGTAATCGAATTTATGCCACCATTTAACCCACCGAGCTCTGTAAACTTGACCTGTTTCAATCTCGTAATTCCATTTCATGATCCAAGGGACCTTGTATTTTGCCATAAACAATGAAAGAAGAGTGATTCTGTCGTCGAAACGGCTTCGGTCAAACTGCTTTTGGAAACCAAATGAAAGAATTTGCATGAGATCTTCAGGTAGTAAGCTGGCTGTTGGGCCATAGGCTGACCACCAATTGGGAAGCCATGCTGGAAAGTTTAACCTGAAACTTTTGTAAAATGTGATGAACCAAAAATGACTAAAGTCAGATGTTTGGTGTAAAAATATATTGGTCCATGCTTGAATGTAGTCAAAATAACTATTTTGTTGTTTGGAATGAGATGATTTGGGGTGTGAAGTTGTTTGGTGTGATAAAGGGGGAGTCTCCATTCCTGTTCACTAAGAAATCTTCTGATATGGAAAGAATGGTAAATGATTTTGTTTTGATGAGTGGTGCTATAAATGGGTTTGATAGCAATGCTTTCGGTCTCACTGAGAATTGCTTGATAATATTTGAGAGTTTTGAAAGATTCAGTTGGGATATGATGGAAATTTGGGGGTAGATAATTGTTTTGGCTATTTTTTCTGGGGATTGTTTTTTGTCAATATGACTTGGTATGTTGAAAAGGTATTTCATTGGGTTTTTCTTGACGTAGGGAGATGTTTTAGCAAAGTTAGGTGTTTTTGGGGTTGAAGGTGATGGCATGGATGAATATAGGTCATAAGGACTAGCTAAGGCCGTTTGGTAGTTTGGATGGAATTGTCCTACAGTTGATTCTAAGGGAGTAAATCTGTTGGTAATGGCTAGGGCCGATGATGAGGAATCGAGAATAGATTCCTGTTTTACTGGTGGTGGAGGTGGAAGAGTGGCTGGAAGCCTTCTCTGGCTACTGCTGTTTCCTGACATTCTTCCCCGGCATAAATTCTCTTGTTAAAAACTCTGGGATGCAATTATGGCTGGCTTTAATGTACTCAATTTTAAAATAAAAAATATTTAGTATGACTTGCCATCATGCAAAAATCTGTTTAGATGTAATGTTTTGAATATCTTTTTGTAAAACATGTTTTGCAGATTTGCAATCGACACGAACTAAAAATTTTTGATTTAATAAATCATTTTGAAATTTGCTAATGCATAATACAATAGATAATATTTCTTTCTTAATAGTACTATAATTAGTTTGTACAGGATTCCAAACTCTTGAATGGAAACGAACAATTTGTGTTTGTGCAGGATTCCAAACTCCTGAATGGAAACGAACAATTTGTTTAGGAGATTCGGAAGAAGTTTTTTTCTTGAGGATACCTCCATAATTGATATCAGATGCATCGGTTTCAACTATCTTAAAAGAGTTGGGAGTTGGAATGCTAAGACAGGGCAATGTCTTAACGTGAGTTTTGATTTGTTTGACAATGGAAGTATGAATGGTAGACCATGCTGGAGGATTATCTTTGAGACGATCAAACAATGGTTTACACTGCTGACGAAGATGATGATAGAATTCTGAAATATAGTTTAATGATCCAAGGAATCTTTGCAACTGAGTTTTGTCTATAATCTGATCTGGGAATTTATTAGCAAATTGAATGACTCGATCAATAGGTTGAATAGTAGATTGGTGGATGTTGTATCCTAAAAATTAAACATTAGTCCAAAACAGTTTGATCTTAGATGCAGAAACAACTAATTCATTGGACTTAATAATTCTAGCAAACAAATGTAAATGTTTCTAGTGTTCGTCTATTGACTTTGAATAAATAAGCACATCATCAATATAAACAATTGAGAAATAGCTATATCGATTAAAAATTTCATTCTTGAAATTAATTCTTTCTAGCAGATTCAAATGTTAAATGTTTCTGTTCTGTCTTTGTAACTTTGATCTCTATTGATCTTTAGATAAATCATAAAGAAAATAAACAATCATCAATAGAGGAAATAGCTATATCAAAAATTTCATTCATAATATTTTGAAAATTCTTGGTGCATTCTTTTGTTCTGAAAGACATTGCATTCATTCACATAATATCCAAAGGAGTTTCTTATTCATTTTCATAAATTTGAATTTGATTTCATTCATAATTTGAAAAAATTTTTGACATTGCAAATAATTAGTTACAAAAATATTTTTCATGAATTTGAATTTGCCAAAAAACCTGATTTCATATCAAATTTTGAAAAAATAACTGCTTGAGAAAGTCTCTTTATCAAATCTCTTTTGTTGGGGATTGGATACCGAATCCATTCCAAAACTTCATTCAAAGGTTTGTAGTTAATAACTAATCTGGGAGTTCCTCTTTCTAATTCTGCATTCTTTTGAATATAAAATATAGGGCACGACCATAGTGACTTGCTTTTCCTAATGATTCCTTTATTAAGAAGTTCTTGGATCTCTGTTTTGCAAAATTTCATAACTTCTTGACTCATTTGGATTGGTCTGGCCTTAGTAGGGATTTTGGATTCATTAAACTCCTTAATGTAAGGAAGTTTAACAATGTGTTGTTTACGATGCTAAAAGGCATTGGGAATGTCAGAACAGACTTCATTAATAAGTTTCTTTTGAAAATTATTAATAGTTTCTAACAAAGACTTATTTGTTAGCTGTTCTTCAATTCTTTTGTGATTAATTTCTTCTTTTAAGAAATTAATGTGTTGTGACTTATTAGTAATCATACTAATAGTTTTTGAAATATTATTTTTCTGTAAATGTATTAGTTTTTTGAGATCTATTTCCAGGCAGAACTCAAATGTAACCTTTTGTCCTACGACTCTGGTGGTAATCCTATTGTGATGAACCTTAAAAAGATATATGAGTGCCAAAAAGGGGAGACCTAATATGACTGGATCTAAAATATTTTATTATTAAAACAAATGGAGTTCTAAAACAAATATTCTTTTGACAAACATGTGCTTTAGATATTTCATATTTTAATTGCATTGGCGACTGGTTTGCAACACTAAGTATTTCTGTTGACTTATGAAAATACTTAGTAGGTATTAACCCTCTTGAATATAATTCAAGTCTGCACCTGAGTTTATTAAAGCAATTGTTTCTAAGTGAAAATCTTCAATTATTATTTTAATTTTAGAATACCATTTTTGGATTCTTATCTTGTATAAAAGACTCAAGACTAGGTCTTGTGTGGAATGTTTACTCAACTGAGTACTTGAAGAGGAACTGCTACTGCATTCTTCTTCGTCAAGTATGACCTGTGATTGGATTTCACTAAGACAAGTGCGGACTTCTAGATTTTCGGACTTTAGAAACCTAATTTCGTCTTTGATTTTATTGACTTCTCTTTGGAGGTCTTTAATTGTGATTTCTTTCTTAGACTTATTAAACCTTTCCAGGGTTGTGCTAAGAGAGATTTTTGGAATTGATTGAGTGTGGCTAGTGCTAGGTTCTTCTAAAGAAACTAATTTATTTAGTTTCTAAGTTTTAAGTTCAGGGTCATCGACTTTACTTATTAATTCGATTAGAAGATCCTCTTGGTCTTCTTGTTTATTAAAGACTGAGGCATTGTTTTTGCAGCAAGCATCGGTGCATCTAACCTTGATGTCTGGAGATGAGCTATTGCTCGATGAATCGTTATCAGAAGAGGATAATTTCAAATCATCTTCTGGTTGACTATGGTACGTGTCTTTTAATTCCAAAACTTGGATTAACTGAAGTTTCTCTTCCTAAGAGATCTTCAATTGATTGATAGTTTTCTTAACTCGACATTTGTTGGCGTAATGACCAAATTTGCCACATTTGTAGCATTTACCCTTCTGGCTTTGGTCTTTGGTTTGAAATTTCTTGGTAGATTTCTTTTTCCATTTGGAATGTTTGGGTTTTTCATAAAATTTATTTCTTTCGAAATTCTTATTTTTGCATTTGTTATATTTGGGATGTATTTGGTTGGATACCTGTTGTAGGTGTCTGACCTTTTCTTCTTATTGGAAGGAGCAATAGGAGGTAATCCATATTGTTCACAGAACGTGCTTAATTCGTATTTAGCTATAAATTTATCTTTATTAACTTGTTTTGAAATTTTCATATCTATACACATTTTCAAGCCTTCATTCTGGATAATATTAATTATATTTCCATAGATAAGGGTATGATATGGTATGATACCATCTTCATTTAATAAAACAT